GGGTTCAGCACGGCCGTTTGGGGTGGACATAATTGCTCTGTGAGGTCCGAATGAGGAAGAGGGTGAAGAGGAGGAAGGATCACATGCAAGAGGTCGGCCAAGGAAATTTCGTTATCGTCGAGCAGGTCGTCGCCATGAAAATGTCGAGGGATTTCGTTGTCATCGGCAGGTCGTCGTCGAAATGCAGTGCCGTTCTATTGGCTGCAGGAGGCCCGCATATGACAAACGGAATATATCATTGTGATCGCGGGTTCGGTCCTTGAAACAATGCGGAAGAATGTCGGGAATATTATGGGCTTCTCCGTATGGTTACGGCGATGTTTTCAATCCGGTGAACGGGGACCATTTATGATTACGCAATCGAAAGAAATACATATTATTACAATCCGGGCGAATACAAAACCAATGCAATACAAATAAGACAAAACCGGATTTCACCGCTAATCCATAAACGAATTCCAAACATATCTCACCATTCTGTATGTCCCGCTAAGGCCGACTCACCAAACCGGCTTTCCCACAAAAACAAAGCTCTAGATTTGAAAACGGTTTCGTCTTTAAGCCTTCCGTCGCGTTTGAAGCCAGTTTCCTGTTAAAGCAATCTCCCCCATTAAACTTAGTTTTCTTTTTGAAGCCAGCTCTCCCGGCTCTCCTGCTTAAGCCGGCTATCCCGCTTAAACCGGTTCCCCCGCATAAGCCGGATCTCCCGCTGAATCGGTAGGCCGGTTCCCCCGCCTAACCCAAACTCTCTTTCTTTTACCGACTTTCCCGCTTAAACGAGGTCTCCTGCAGAAGCCGCACGTCTCTACAATTCCTTCGTTTGCGCGCCCCGTTGCTGCCAATTGCAGGTCTCCCTGCTGCCAATTGCGAATCCCGCTGCTGCCAGTTACGACTCCCGTGCCAGTTGCGACTCCCGTTGTTGCCAGTTGCGGGTCCCGTTGTTGCCAGTTGCGAGCCCCGTTGTTGCCAGTTGCGAGTCCCGTTGTTGCCAGTTGCGAGTCCCGTTGTTGCCAGTTGCGGGTCCCGTTGTTGAGTTGCGAGTCTCGTTGTTCCAGTTGCGAGTCCCGTTGTTCAGTTGCGAGTCCCGTTGGTGCCGAGAATTCGTGTACGACCTATTCTCACACCAATTCATACTGTTCGCGCGGTCATGGCATAGTGACGCATCGCATTTTTAATGGCGACATGATAATTGCACCGTTATGATACTCCGCAAGACGACGGTCGTGAACAAGGCGACGCATTAATGTTTGCATTTTAATGTGTAGCCATCCATCCTGCTATCCGGTTGATTCAAGACCGTTTCCCGTTGGGCGCCGATATTGTGGCGTATTTCGACGATGTGTGTGCGACCCACGAGATTTGAACATAGTTCTGGCCATTACGGAGCATCATACATTTCGGGCAATATGTCAGATTGACAGGAGCATGGGCAAGCTTGCGTTTTGGGGCAAAGCGGCCACACCATGCCCAGATGAAGTCGCAAATGCAATCATTGCGGTTTGGATATGCGATTAAATCTTACTAAAACGGGCTTGAAGGTTTTAGGAACGCTACGTGCTTCTGTTGAATAATTATTAGATTTACATAGGGCGGAGCTATTCAATATATAGTTTGATATCCTTTCTTTTTTCGCAATCCCAAGAATGAAACATCCTTTGCGCGCATTATCACCGCCTGAAACGCAACCGCTCGCATTTTCCCACGACTACACCATCCCCAACACATTCATTGCGATCTCTGCGCATTTGGCGAGCCGGCAGAGAAGATTACGCGGTTTTATTGGGCGAGTTGGGCCGGTGCATTCCGTTGATTGATTGCCCGGTTCTTTTCGTGTGGGTGCCAAGCCACGCATTGCCTTACGATGTTTCCATTTTACGTGATACAAATTCAGGTGCGCCGTAGTGGACGCGGCCAGATACGTAGAATGGCTTTCGAACGCGGCGGCAAGATGACTAAGCGCAGGCGATAATAGTGCACACCCTTTTAAAAGCATTGAGGCCGAAATTCCTATCCACGGGGAAGGGTCTTAGGGGCCTGTTGGGCCGTCGTGGAGCCTCGGAAGCTCGAAGAGGCGAGAACCCCCAAAAACATTGGAGCCATTTTCAGAACATCAACGGATGTTTGCCTCCGTGGGCCCTCTTGGGGATCCTCTTGGAGCGCTCTTGGGGCCTCTTGGGGCCGTCTTGGGCGTCTTGGAGCGTTCATGGGCAGTCTTGGCGGCCTCTTTGGCCCTCTTAGCGCTTCTTGGGGCATTCTTGATCCGTCTTGGGGCTCCTCCCTAGCTTTCTGGAAAACCCACGCGAGCCAATTCTGGAGCGAGCGAGAGCGACCAGGATATTTGAGAATTTGAGCCCTCGGCCTCTTTATTAGTATAGTGCCCCAGTACAAAGAACAGAGAACACTTGAGGACCTGAGGGCGCTCCACTTCGTGCTCAGCGGCACGGTAACGGATTGGGGCCCTGACACGCGCGGGCCTCCTTGCTGGGGCTGGGGCCAGTTTAGCGTGTACTTGCCCCGCGCTGGGCCGTACACATGCCCTTCCCCAGCACTCCCCCCCTGGCCCCCCCCTCTATCTGAAGGGTGTTCCCTGGGGCCGCCCTGGGCCTCTTTAAAGACGTTCTTGGGTTTTCTTGGGCTATATATCTACAGCGCTCCTGGGGGTCTTCAGGTCCGTTTCGGGTGGGGATATCGGGGCCATCCTGGTGGTATTATTTCTGGACTGTTTTGGAGGTCTCTTGGGCCGTCTCGGGGGTCTTTGGAAGCCACCTAGGGCTATCTTTGGGACTGTTCTAGCCGGCCGTTTGAGCCATCTTAGACGGCGCCTTGGAACCGTTTGGCGCCCTCTTGAAGTCACAGATTGGGGCCTTGAGCTGCGCCGGCCTCCTTTCTGGGGCTGGGGCCAGTTTAGCGTTGACGTGCCCCCCTCCAGACTGTGCGCCTACCCCTCCTCGCCTCTCTCCTCCCTGCCCCCCCACTTTACCGTGAGGGTGGTCTCTGGGGCCGCCTCGGGCATCTTTCTTTGAGCCTCTCTTGACGCACGGAACATGTTCTGGAGCCTCGGAGGGGTCTTTCGGAATATCTCGGGCCATCCTTGAGTCGCTTGGGGGCTTCTTGGGCCCCGGGCATGATGGAACCACGGCCAGCGTAGCATGTGCTTGACCCCCTTTGACGCTACCTCTTGGAACCCTCAGCCGCCCTGCCCCCCCCACCCCGTGCAGGAGCCGGGGCCAGTATAGCGTGTACCTGCCCATCCGTCCCTCCCACCCTCACCATTCTTCCTGGCGGGTGCTGTCCTGGGTCTCGCAGGGCATCCCTGAAGGCCTTCTTGGGGCCATTTTGGGCGCTTTTTGAGCCCTGGGCTGTTTCAGGCAGCAATCGGAGCCATCCTGGGCTGTCTTGGCAGCCGTTTGGGCCTTCTTGAAGTTCCCTTGGGCTGTCCCGGACCTCTTTGGACGGCCTGTTTGGCCTTCTTCGGTGTGTTTCGGGGCCCTCGTGGGCCGTTCTGGGCTGCTTTGGGAGCCATCCTGGGCTGTATTGGATTTCCCTCGGGCCCTCTTGACGTCACATTGCGCTGAGCCGTCTTGCCCCCCCTGCTGGAGCCAGGGCCAGTATAGCGTGTACCTGCCCCCCGCCTTTCCCGTCCCCCCCCCACCTTTCCTCGCGGTTATTCTTTTAGTCGCGCTGGGTCGCGTTGGGCCTCCCAGAATGCCCTTTGCGCCACGTTGGGCGCCCCTGGCATGCTGGAGCTAGGGCCAGCGTGGCGTGTGATTGACCCTCTTCTTGGGGCGTGCACCCCCCTGCCTGGGTCGTGGAGGTCTACGAGCCGCTTGTGAAGTCCCGTCTTGAAGTCCTCTGAAGCTCTCGAGCCTTTGCGATCATGCACCCCGCCTCTCCTCTCCTATCCTCCTCCGCCTCCTCCTCCCTCTCCCTCGTGTTTGAACGCAGCTTTGTGCTCCACGTTTGAATTCCACAGTCTGGGCCACGAGTCTTTTCACCCCTCTTCCTCTCTCCCTCGCGTCATTTCTCTTCAACATCGCTTACAGTTCGGCTTTAGGTTTGAAGAGCTGGCGGGCGCTCCTGGGTCGCGCTAGGTTGAGGCGGCGCACGCGGCGCAACAAGGAGGACACCCCCCGAGGGTCAAGGTCGTCGGTTTAAGGTCAAGGTTTTGGGCCTCGGTTTTCAAGGTTTAAGGTTTGAGGTCAAGGTCCAAGGTAAAAGGTTCAAGGTCACTTGCAAGGTCAAGCAAGGTCAGTAGTAGTTCTTCCAAGATGGCTCCAAGACGGCATCAAGAGGGCTCCAGGATGGCACCAAGACAGTCCGAGAAGCCCTCCAAGACGGCTAAGACAGCCTCGAACGGCCTCCAGCACAACCCTAAGACGCTTCCAAGACGTCCAAGACGCCCCCAAGAGAACCCGAGTTTGCCCAAAGATGTTTCGAAGATGGCCGATCGTCGCGACATTAATTATTGAGGCGCGGTATTGATTAGGCGCGATATTGATTATAGGGGAGCAGCCTTGAGGCGGCCGCAGGAAGAGAGGACGACAATCATTCGGTACTTGTTTCAAGTTTCAAGTCGTTTTCATCTCGACGACCTCCGCATTGATCCAAGCACGCTTTGACTCCTCACGGTGGCCTGTGCCACCGTGCCGTCGAGGCGAACGCGTGGCCCCCTGGGCCGTGGCCCAACTCCCCCTAGGTCTGACGATCGACCAACCAAAAAGAAACTTGAAACTTGAACCGATCCTCGCTTCCTGAAGACTGGCCGGACTGGTCCCAACTTTGGGCGTCTGGGCATCCACCTCTTTGGTCGGGTTCTCTTCATCTCGGTCAACCCGTCCAAGCTGCTTCCACACCAAAGGGTCACTTATATCGAGCTTGCTAAAGTTGATCCATCCATTTTGCTTCCAGGCCTCGGGGCCCTCGTTCTCGTAGCCCTGCCAACCATGCTTTTTCCCATCCTTGGATCAGTGGGATCGGCTTTGCTTTTCCAGCCCAGGGGCTTCCACGCCTCGGGGGTGTCCATGTCGAGCTTGTCGTAGTCGATACACTTAGACGGGTCTTTCGTCCACTTGCGCTCGCGCTGGCCCGCATTGTTCTGGCTGCTGTCGCCGTCGCCCACGAATGACCTGACATGCTGTTTCTGCATCGGCATGATCTGCGGCAAGTAGCCCCCCATGTTGCAGATGGCCTGACCTCAAGTAGTTTGGAAATCGACTGCCCGACGCACTTGCTCTTGGCTTGCAGGGGCCTGGTCATCTCGCACTTGGCCATCCTCTCGTCGGTGGTGGACGTGCGACCCTGCTCCACGATCACGAGGTGCATGTCCGGCTTTTCTTTCATCGCGGTGAGCTCCTCAACCTTGATGTCCGTCACCGCCCTTGACGCTTCCATGTGGCAGGCCGTGATCTGCAATTGCGTCATGGCTTTTCTTCATGTAGATCGCGTATTCCCCGATGTCCCCACGTGGCCTTTCGCTCACTGAACTCTGGGACCACGACGCCTGCTTGATCATGGGCGCTGCGCCCTACCGCTGCGCGTCTCTGGGCGGGGGCCCAGGGGCAGCCGCAGAGAAGGCTGTGCGCTGGGCACTGTGCAGGCCGCGCGAGTAGTTGCTGTAGCCTGAAGCCTGTAGCTTATTACTTACTCGAGCCAGGCAGCTGCTCAATGTACTCCAGGTTCAGCGTTGTCGTGTTCTCTGCGTCTCTCTATCGCACCGTCGTTTGTCGACGCAGTTGGTGCAGGAGTCGGGGAGCGCCCCAGGGGCTCCGGGGGCTGCAGAGTCCTTGGGCGAGGAGGGGGTGGAGGAGGAGGGGGGGGTCCCGAGTAAACCCGGGATGCGCCAGCGATGCTGCAATGCCCCCTCACGCCGCGAGCCCCCATCACCCCTCGCAACACGCCCTTGCTGGCGGCATTCCTTGACGACGACGGCGACGACGAGACTCGAGGCTAGGACTGGGGATGGGGGCGCAGGAGACTAGGATAACCCCCCACCGCCTCGGAAAGCGGTTTGGGGAGGGGGCGGAGGGCGGGGGGGCGACATCACCTCATTACTCATTATCTCATTACCTCATTACCTCATTCTTCACTATTCACACTTCAGTGTGTATTATTCATTACTCATGTCTTCCCCCCCCCCCCATCTCCACTCTTTCTCCTTCTCCTCCTCCTCCCCCCTCCTCCTTGCTCAGGGCTGCTTAGGGCCCGGGGCTGGGGGCGTAGGTCGCGGCGCGGGGCTGGGGCCTGACGGCTAAGGGCTCAAGGCTTAAAGTGTGAAGGGCTTAGGGCTTAGGGCTTAGTTATTAAGGCTCGGAGCTGAGGGCTCAGGGCATTGGGCGCAAGGCTCAAGGCTCAAGGCTCGGGCTGAAGTCTCAGGGCTGAAAGGCCAGGGGCCACGGCTCAGATTTAATGGCTCAGGGCGCAAAAACTTAAGGCTTAGGGCCCAGGGCTCAGGTCTCAGGGCCCAGGGCTCAGAGTTCAGAGCCTGAAGCTGAGGGCCCAGGGCGTGGGTTTCGGGGCCTATGGGCTCGAGGCTCAAGGCTAAGCGCTACTGGCTTAGAGGTCAAGGGATTAAGGTTTCGGGCTTAGGGTTTCGAGCTCAGGGCTCTGTGCTCAAGGCGCAGGGGTTAGGGCTTAGGGCGTGAGGCTCAAGGCTCAGGGCTGAGGGTAGACGTTGAGGGCTTCTGCTTTTTGGCTCCGGGCTGAAGGCTTAGGGCTTAGGGATTGCGGATTAGTTCTTAGGGCTCCGAGCTCAGGGCCGAAGGTTCAAGACTCATGGCTCGGGGCCCAGGGCCTGGGGCCGAGGGCCTTGGGCCGAAGGCCCGAGGCATCGGGCTTAGGGCCCAAGGCGCAGGGCGCAAGGCTCAGGGCTGCTTAGGACCTAGGGGCCGAAGGCTAAGGGCTGAGGGCTAAGGGCTTAGTTCTTAAGGATCGGAGCTGAGGGCTCAGGGCGCAGGGCGCAAGGCTCAGGGCTCAAGGCTTATGGCCCAGGGGCTCAAGGCTCAGGGCCGAAGGGCCGCGGCCCAGAACTCATGGTTCAGGGCGCAAGGCCTACGGCTTAGGGCTCAAGGCTCAAGGCGGAGGGCCCAGGCCCCAGGCAGCAAGTAATGTCGGGCCGCTGCAACCCCGCGACTCTCGAACTCCGAGATGGGGGGCGGGCGCCGCCGCCGCGCGCCCGCGCCTTGTCGCGTCGCGATACCTCTGCCGCGGGACATTGGGAGTGGCCCGGGGGTGTGCACCCCATGCCGCGCCCCCCCGGGCGCCGCGCGCAGCTTTGCGAAGAGACATTCGCTGTGCAAAATGGGCCAGCGGCGCGCCATTCTGGTTCGCACTTGTGCGACCGTGGGCTGGGCGCGAGCCCGGGGTGCAATTTTCTGACCCTGGCCTGGCTGGCGTGGTGCATCAGGGGGACCTTGCCACCCTGGGTAAGGTGGGGTCTTCCGGAAGTCTTCCGGGGCCTTCCGGGGCTTTCCGGGCCCAAGGTGGGGGGGTCGACCATGGTAAGGTGGGGTCTTCCGAAGTCTTCCGAGGCCTTCCGGGGCTTTCCGGGCCCATGGTGGGGGGTCTCTGGGCAAGGTCGCAAATTTCGGGTCCAAGGTCGACCTTGTCGGCGACCAAGGTCGACGTTCGCGGCGGCCAAGGTCGACGTTTGCGGCGCCTGAAGTCGTTCGAATGGACCGCGAAGCGAGCGGCGCGGCTCGGCCGCGCGCCGAGAGAAGACGCTCCACGAGATGGCAACGCGCCAGATTCTTTCAAACAGCGCGGCCGACGTGCAGTTCCACCAAATTCTCGAGCCATTTGACACAAGATTGCGTCGCATGCGCGACGAGACGCATGCGCGGTCACATGGCACATGTTCTGTGCGCGTTTGCACCTCGGGCCCAGGGCCTAGGGCCTCAGCGCCCAGGGCTTGCGGCACAAGGCGCAGGGCTCAAGGGTCGGGGCTCAGGGCTCAGTTCGCATGGCTCAGGGCTCAGAGCCTAAAGCTGAGGGCCCAGGGTTTGGGGCTCAGGACCCCGGGCTTAGGGCTCAAGGCCAAGGGTTAATGGCTTAAGTGGTTAAGGCCTAGGGCTTAGAGCTTAGAGCCAACTTGGCGATCCGACTTGTTCCTTGTTGGACGTGTCCCACCCGCCAATGTCCCATGACATATAGAATTCAAACGCGTCGACGATGATGACGGTGCTGATGGCGCTGGTGACGCTGATGGTGATATTGCTGACGATGATGATGGTGCTGGCGATGGTGATGGACGCGCCTCCATGCTTGGATGGGCCTCGTGCTCGTTTTGGCCAACGCTTGGGAGCTCCCGGGGAACGCGCAGGCGAATGGGGGCGCCTGGTGCGCGCGAGGACGCCTGGCGCGCCATAATCATGCGCAATAAATACCTCGCGGCGCACATCGCCTCACGCCGCCCGCCCTTGCAAAACACATGGTTTCGTGCGCGAGCGGTCAGCATCCCCAGCGCAAACTACCGCGCGGCGCGCGTACAAGCGCCCTCAAGCGCCCCGAGCTCCCAGGCGTCCTACAGCGCTGCCTGGCGCCCCCAGCGCTGCTCAGGCGCTGCTCAAGGGCCGACAGGCGCTGCGAGGCGCTTCCAGCCGCCCCTAGACGCACCAAGTGCCTTTCAGCGCTCCCCAGAAGCTCCAAGCGCTGCCTTGCGCGGGCGGGAGGTTTTTCCAAGCGCCCCCTAGGCGCTCTTGGGCGCCGCCAGGCGCCCCCGGGCGCATCCTGGCAGCCCCGAGCCCCAAGCGTTCCCAGGCGCCCCCAGGCGCTCTCAGGCGCTGCCCAGGCGCTGCCCAGGCATGGGCCAGGCGCTGGCAGGCGCTCCCAGGCGTGCCCAGACGCACCAGGCGTTCCTGAGCGCTCCTCAGGAGTCCCCAAGCGCTGCCTTACGCGAGGCCGAGACGCGTCCAAGCGCTCTCCAGGCGCTCCTGGGTCTCGGGCGTTGCCGGGCGTCTCCAGGCGTCTCCAAGCGGCCCCCGGCGCTCTCTGGCGCCCCCAGGCGCTCCTTGGTCTTCGGCGCCGCAGGCGCTGCCCAGGCGCTGCTTGGCGCCCCCAGGCGCTACCCAGACTCTGCCCGGGCGCTGGCTGGCGGCGGGTCCTTGGGGGTCATTGGGTGCTTCTTCGGGGGCGGGCCCTTCGACGTTGGCTGCGTTCTCTTCGGCATCAGCGCTATGGGTTGATGCGGCCCCGCGGGCGGCGCCGACTTCATCGCCTTGGGTCGAATCGACATTTTCGGCATCCCATGGGGCGGCCCCGCGGGTGGCATCTCATAGGGCGGCATGCATATGGCCAATGTGTCAAATCTTACAATGTCAATATGTCAATCTTATCTGGTCAAGATTGTAGATCTGCCAATCTTCCCAGCGTGCTTTTCTCAAACTGGTAAACCTGTTACTTGTTAAGTGTGAATCGTCTACGGTCAACTGGTCAGCCCTCCAAGTGAATTGTGTCTGGTCAATCTGTCAATCGTCCCAGTGAATTATTGTGTCTGGTCAGTATGTGAATTTTATCTGGTCAGTCTGCGCAAGGAACAAACGTAAATGGCAAACAGCTAGCAGCTTACAGTTTACAGTTTACACTTAACATGCTAACATGCCCCATATCTATATGTGCTGAAGCTTGGTTACGCACATCAGCTCATACTTGTATAGTTTATCAATTATGTTTTTATACAACATATGGCTACTGAGTTGTGCTTAGCTGGTTAGCATATAGCATATGTGCGTGGCACATAGCATATAGCATACCTGGCGCATAATTGCGTAGCATATAGCAAATATTGTGCTTACTTGTATAGCATCTAGCATATGGCTACTGAATTGGATTGTGCGAGCACAAGGCGCTGACGGCGCTGGCGCATTGACAACTGGACCACCTACAATCTCTGCATGAGATACGACCGACGATTGCGATTCATGCTGGATATTTGAATATTGTCAGCGCCAACATTGTCTGTGTCTGGTTGATCGCCGCCGATCGGTGCAGCTAGAAGCGCCAACTCGACTAAATTCATGCCTCATGCCCCTCATGCTTGAAACAGAATGCTATCATACCATAGGTCATAGGCTACGGAGTATGCGGACGTGGCCACTGGGGCATTCGGACCCGCAATTTGCGGACAAACGACATACGGCACCCCTAACACCTAAGACCTAAGACCTAAAACCCAAAACTTTTAAACTCAAAAATGATGATGACTAGGAGGAAAGGGAGGGTGAGGACAAGGAGAAAGAGTGGGACAGGATTGAAGGCGAGGGCATGCTGAGAATGCAAAGAGGCGGGGAGGAGGGATGGAGAAGGGAGGGAAGAGGGAGGAAGAAGGAGGGAGGATGAGGATGCGGATGCGGATGAGGAGGAGGGAGGACATACTTGACAAAACGAAGGGGGGGGGCAGGATGAGGACGGATAAAGAAAGACCGAGG